TTTTCCGGGTGGAAAAAACCCGGGAAAACCTTTTGTTTCCTTGGGGGGGGGGTTTCCCCTAAAAGCTTCCCTTGGGGGGTGTGGGGAAACCGGGGTACAATTACGCCAAACATTCCCTGGCGGGGGACGGGTTTGCCCGAATGTTTCGACTGCCCGGCGGGATCGTCGTGCGGCGGTGGCGCGGCGCCGCCGGCAGAATGCTCGCCGGGCTCCGTTGCCGCCACGCCCGGCCTCTCCAAGTGCGAGCGCTGCTCCGCCGGATCCTACCAGAACGACACGGGCGCGACGGGCTGCCGCGACTGCAAGCAAGGCAACTATTGCCCCGAGAGCGCGTCGGCGCCTCTGCCGTGTGAGGCCGGCAGCTACTCGGACAAGACGAACCTTGTCTCGGCGGGCGGCTGCGAGGGCTGCCCAGAGGGCCACGCTTGCACCACTGGCAGCGTGGCTCCCATGGCCTGCCGCGCCGGCACCTTCGCCGCCGGCTCTCGCAACGCCGAGTGCGAGCCGTGCAAGGCGGGATCCTACCAGAACGCCACCGGCGCTGCCAGCTGCGTCGCATGCGGGCTTGGCAGCTTCTGTCCAGTCGGCGCGTCGCTCGAGCTGCCTGCGGCGTGCGAGCCGGGTACATACGCCAACGTCACGGACGGCGACGGTTTGCCCGAATGCTTCGATTGCCCGGCGGGCTCGTCGTGCGGCGGCGGCGCGGCGCCGCCGGCAGAGTGTTCGCCGGGCTCCGTTACCGCCACTCCTGGCCTCTCCAAGTGCGAGCGCTGTGAGCCCGGCACCACCTCTGGCGTCGGCAGCGAGTCGTGCAGCGAGTGCGTTGCAGGCACGTACGCCGCCAACCCCGGCCAGGGCCAGTGCGTCCCTTGCCCCTACCCCCTCAGCAGTGAGCGCGGCGCCGTCATCTGCTCCTTCTGCCAGAAGGACTTCTACCTGCTCCAGAGCGCCGACCCGGCCGACATCTTCTCCTCCCCGACCGACTACTGCAAGCCATGCCCATCGGACGCCGCGTGCCCGGTCGGCACGACCCTCGAGACCCTCGGCATCCCGCCCGGCTTCTGGCGCGCCAGCTTCTCCAGCGCCGAGCTCACAGAGTGCCGCGCCTTTGGAGGGGATGGCCAGGCGGGCCAGGCGCGGTGTGTCGGCAATGTTGATCCGGGAGAGGCTAGCGGTCGGAGGGCGCAGGAGGCCGGCTTGGACTACTGCGCAGACGCCTTCGCCGGCCCCGAGTGCCAGCTCTGCCGCGAGCCGAACCACTACCTGGACGCCGACGGCGCCGCCTGCAACAAGTGCGTCGCTGTCGGCACGGCGGCGGGGCACATGGCGGGCATCGCCCTCGGCCTCTGCGTCGCGTTTGGCCTCGTGGCGTTGGCGTACTCAGTTCAGCGCGGGCAAACCGAGTGGAGGAAGGAGCGCTTCATCGGACTTCCCTTGCGCATCGCCGACCGCACCGGTGACGCGATTTACAAAATCGGCCTCATACCCAAGTTCAAGATCTTGTTTGGCTTCTACCAGGTCTGCCTCGTCCTCTCCACCACCTACTCGGCGCGGCTGCCGGAACGGTACACGGGCTGGACGGAGGCGCTGGCCGAAGCCGTCTTCATCGACTGGTCGGGCGTCGTGCTGCCGGTGCAGTGCCTGCCGCACAAGTCCCGGCTCGTCGCCGTCGCGATCTCTCCCATCGGCGTCATCGCTCTGCTCCTCTTTGCTGGCATTGTCTTGCGGCTCTGTGCTCGCTGGCGGCGTGCTCGGCGAGGGGCTGGCTGCGAGAGCGGCTCCGAGGTGCCACCGATGGCGCTGGCCGAAACTGACGATGCGGCGGTCTTTTCATGGCCTGCAGAGGTGGCGCTCGGCCTCCTCGACCTCACGCCGGCGGGTCTCGTGCTCATCTTTCTCTTCGTGCCGTCTGTGAGCGCCACGGTCTTGCGCGCGTGGTCGTGCCAGGTGCTAGCCACAAACAAACAAGCCCCCGCCCCCCCAACCCCAACCCCCTTAGCTTGTGTCGATGTGCGCGCAGGGCTACACCACCTCTGCGCCGGGCGAGACGCTCGCTCTGGTCGAGTACATGCGGCAGGACGCGAGCGTCGAGTGCGGCACCGACGAGCACGACTCCATCACGAGACTCGCCACTGGCTTCGTCGTCCTCTGGCCGGTCGGTTCGCTAGTCCTCTACTCGGCCCTTCTTCTCGCATGCTACAAGCCGCTGCAGGCCAAGTCGCCGAACGCGCTGACGAAGGCCACCGCCTTCCTTCACCGGGAGTACAAAAGGAACTGGTACTGGTGGGAGGCGGCCGATCTGGCCCGCAAGCTCTTTCTGACGGGCTTCGTGCTGCTGGTTGCCGAGGAGGAGGACTCCTTTGTTCGTCTCGTCGTGGCGGTGCTCGTGTGTTCGTGCTACGCCGTCGCGATCGCCCTGGTCCAGCCCTACAAGCGGTTCGAGGACAACATCCTCGCCGTGGTGCGCCTTTCGCCCAATCCCACACGCCCTTTGCGCTTGCTTGTGCTGCAGCTCTCAGCACACGCTTGGATCGCCGTGGCCAGTCCATCACCCACCCCACACACGCCCTTCCCACTGCAGTCACTCTGAGCCCAACGGACGCGGCTCGCACTGCAGGCCACCAGCCTCGTCCTCCTCCTCCTCTTCCTCGGTGCCAGCTGGACCACCATCTTCCTCAACATCGAGTTGCGATTCCCCGGGGACGAGCCGGGGCAGTCGGCCTCCGCCGTCCTCGGCTTCAGGTCCGAGAATGGACTGGTGAACTGGATGCTCGTCCTTGCTGCGGCTGCGCTCCTGATCTTCCTCGTGGGTACCATCATCGCCATCCGCCGCCTTGCCAAGGTCCCCACGATTCGCCTCGTCTCAACCAAGCAGCCCCCCGAGCTGGCTCTGGTGGACGGCCTCACGTGGCACCTCTTCCTCTCGCACATCTGGTCAGTCCTGTGGTCAGAGGGAGACGCGGCGTAGGAGAACCCGCCAGAACGACCCGCCACTCCCCGAATAGGTCCACCGGCCAAGACGCCGTCGCGGTCATCAAGAATGAGCTTAAGCTCTTGATCCCCGGCATCAAGATCTTCCTCGATGTGGACGATTTGAAGGACATCGGGTCGCTGGAGGATTACGTTGACCGCACGCAGGTCATGCTCTTCTTCCTGTCGAGGGGCTACTTCCGCTCGAAGGCACTCCCCCAGCCCCTCCCTTTCCGAGCCTCGCTGTGTCGCCCACGACTACTCGTGCGCTCCTTGCCTGCAGAACTGCCTGCGCGAGATTCAGACGTCGCTCGAGAAGAGGAAGCCGCTCGTCCTCGTGCAAGAGGCGGACCCGGCCAAGGGCGGCGGGACGCTGCAGGCGCTCCCCGCCCGCCCCCAGCTCGATGACCCTGCGGGGATTGCTCTCGCCACACACGGCTCTGAGGGGCGGTGTCGCCGCCGCCGCCGCACGCCAGCACTCACTCACGCACACTGTCGCTGCACGACTGCAGGAGTTGCGAGCACAGTGCCCGGAGGGCCTCCAGCCGGAGATCTTTGACAGGGGGTGGGCGCAGACGACGTGGCACCGCATCGACGAGTATCAGCGTGTCTCGCTTAAGATCATCTCCGAGGTGCCGCCACGGACAACTCTCTGCAGCTCTTCTGCCTCGTCGCCTCGACCTTGACCGCCGCCCCCTCGCACCTACCCTCAGGCGCTCCTCCTCAGCTCGCCAAACTACTCGAGCCTGACCTCCCTCCCGCTCTTCATCCCGGGCGAGGTCCAGGGCCAGCCGATCTCCTTCTCCAAGTCCGTCGTGCTCTGGGCCTCGCCGTTCGATGAGGGCGCAGACGAGCTGGCCACCGAGCTCGCCACCAATTTCTCCGGTCTCACCGTCTCCATCGCCGAGGAGGCGGGCGACGCCACGCACATGCTTCTCTATCTGAACGCCGACACCTGGTCCGACGAGAGGCTGGCCGAGCAGGTCAAGCAGGCGCGCCAGGACAGGCTGAAGATCGTCATGGCGCACGAGAACGACCTCGACCGCGGCGGCTGTGAGTTCGCCAAGTTTTTTGAGACCACGCCGCAGGAACGCTGCCCATCAGCGGTCCATCGTTTATGCCACACCACCCGCCCCCGCTCCATGCCCCCCTTCCCCGCCGCCGCAGGAGCTCATCAACGGCGGGCTCTACGACGCCCTCGCCATTGCCTGCTTCCCCGGCCTGCACCATGAGGTGCGCTCCCCCGGCGGCACCGTTGCCACAGCGCCCGCCTGCTCCTGAAGCGACTGATCTTGCACCCCCGGTCTCACAGGTGTCGCTCGTGCTGCTGGCCAAGGCTCTGGGCGCAACCCCGGTGCGCTCGAGCATCCGCGACTCGCTTTCGAACATCGGGCGCTTCACTACCGTGCCTCGCGGCTCGACGACGTCCGACCCAGTCGTTACCGAGGAGGATTCGCAGCTGGAGCAGGTGCTAGAGGTGGAGCCGGTGGTGTAGAGGTGACGAGCAACTTGCAGTCCGGCTCAAGCGGCAAGGGTTGGACGCGCTCCCGACTTCCAGGAGTTGCGCTGCTTTTGGCATGGCGTTTCATGTACTTCGACGAGCTAACGTTAGAGCGACTCTCTCTCATGCCCACTGTGAACAGTTGGGATCTGTTCTGCGCAGGTAAATTCATAGAGCTGCGCGTGTTGTGTGTCCGCGCTAAAGCCGTATTGGCGCTGTTACGAGAGCGGAGAGGGTGCGTGTCGCAGCTCGCACTACCGTAGACAAGTAGTACCTAGTACATTCGTAATAGTATGCCTTGACTTCGCCTGGGGTCCATGCCCGAAGCCCACCCTGTGAACGTAGGAGATAGCCATGGTTTGCATGGTTGGTCCAATTATAGTCGGGATTTAAAGCTCAATTGCGCGCGCGCACAAACACCACTCATCCCGGGCGGGAAGGGCCTAACACACGAGCCAGCGCCAGTGGCGACCACGAGACTGCTGGCACGACGGTGATGGTAGGCAAGGGCGCCGAGCCCTAAAACGAACGCACAAACAAGCAACAAAACTCTCTCTCTCTCTCTCTCTCTCTCAAACAAGCGAACGAATGAAATGACCGATAATGAATTAATGGAATAGAGAAAGCGGAGAAAGGAGTCTCGGGCACGGCGCGGGAGAGCCGCGCCGGCCGCGCCAACCGTCGTAATGCAATGTGTCGTATGAACAGAGAGCGTAGTAGAAACATTAGAGTTTACTTGGCGGCCCGCCCTGTCGGCGGTCGCACGAAGCCTCTCGCTCGTAGAGACAGCTTGTAGAATTCCGTGCCAGTCCCGTACCCGGTGTCGTGCGAGGGAGTTTTGTTTAAAATTCTTTTTGAGAGCGCCTTCCCTGGAATAATTCTTTTTCCCGCTGTTCCCCCAGCAGACGCGCGGCGGCACGGCCTTCCACCAGCTGAAGGAGGTGCGCACTTCCCAGTGGAAGCACAGGATGCTCCCTCAGCACACGCAGCTTTGCGCAGCGCAGCGTACGGGCCACGCCACGCAAAGCCGACCCTCAGTCTGCCCGAGAGGCTGTCTGCGCGGGGCAGCAATTCTTTTTCCGCTAGACGCCGTCGGCGGCCTGCCGCCGCTCTCTGCCCTCTCGGCGGCCGCCACAGCGAGCACCCACCCGCAGCCCGGGGGCCACGCGGCCGGGCACCAGGCCTTCGATGGCGGCCTCGCCCGCCATCGACCTGGGAGAGCCGCTCGCGGCTCTGTTCAAGCGCGTGCGCGTCGCCGACAAGTTTTACCGCAAGTACGAAGGGCAGCTCGAGGACCTGGGTGTGGGTGATGCTGGCGACCTCCTCGAGGTGGTCGCTGTGAAGGGCATTGCCTCGCTCGGAATCCACGAGCTCCAGGCGGAGAAGCTCCGCCGAGCTCTTCTCGGCCGGCGGGGCTGGGGGGACGCAGCTGCGGTCTTGGCATCCCTCAGCGGCTTGTCGCTGGGCGACACCCCGGCTGGGGTGGCGGCTGGCGATCAGGCGGCTGGTGGCGGGGCAGCGGCTGGCGGCGAGGGCCGCGGCGGCGCGCGCCCCGAAGAGGCGGACGGCGGTGCCTGCGACGCGCAGGCCGCTGAAGGTGGGTCCGGAGGTGGGACCGAGGGATCCAGTTTGGACCCCTTGGAGCCCGCGCTGCCGGAGAGCGGCGATGGGACGATCGCCGCCGCGGGGGAGGAGGAGGAGGTCGAGGGCGGGCGGAAGGCGCCGCGGCGCCGCCGAGGGCGGCGCGGCCGTGGCGCCAGGGGTCGCGGGGGGGAGCTCGAGAAGGTGCCCGACACCGCGGCGGGTTTGGCTGCTGAGCGGCCCAACCCAGTGGAGGAGGTTTCCACCGGCGGCGCGGCGCCGGCGGAGGGGGAGGAGGGCGGCCCGCCCTCGCTCGCTGCTGATGGACCTGGACGTGCCCCATATTGGGGGCCCGCCGGCATTACCCCGCCCGAGACGCCGGTCTCGGACGCTGCCGGCGCGCCCCACCCTTTCATTTTAGATGAGGCCACGGGTTCTAAGGCGGGCGAGGCGGCTGCTGAGGCGTTGGCGGAGGCGGCGGTCGACGCCGTCTACGGGGCGCTCGTGGCGGCGACGCTCGAGGAGTGGGCTGGAGCGAGCACGGACAACCCCGTCTCCGCGGAGGACGCTCGAGGCCCAGGCCTCGAGTGTCAGCAGTGCTTTGCGAACTTTTACGACGGGTTTGGCGTGGAGCCGTGGCTGTGGCGCCGGGCGTTGCGTGAGGGCTGGTCGGAGCTGGGGGGCTGGTCGAGAGAGGAGATGGAGGCGGCGGAGAAGGAGATCTGGCGCGGCGAGAGTTCTGAGATCTCTCAGCTAGGCGAGTGGGTCTGCGATGCTTGCTTGGAGGGCTATTTGGGGGGGGGCGTTGGCGACTACTCGGAGCTGCGCAGCGGCTACGTTGCGCCGTATCCGAGTAACCCCTGGATAGGTCGCTCGCGCGACCTCTCCTGGATGCGCAAGGGGCCCATAGGGGTCACGCGGAGGGAGGCGCTGTTAGCGGCGGAGGAGGCGAAGGCGGCCGCGCGGGCGGCGGAGAAGGCGGCGCGGGCAGCGGAGGGGGGGAAGGGCGGCGGCAGCGGGCGGCAGTCCCGCGAGGCACGCCGGCGGAAGGGTTCGTCTTCGCGGGGCGGGGTGCGCACTGCGCGCCGCGAGGATGAGGAGCCTGAGCCAGGGGAGGGTTGGGAAGGGGGGGCGAGGCCGGAGGAGTATGACGGCCTCTTCGACGGCCCATAAGGGGCCGTTGTCTGCTGTGCCTTTTGTGGTGCTAGTTCGTGCCAGTCTGCTGTGAGAGGGGCTTGTATTCGTAGAATTCTTTTTCCGCGCGAAGTCCCTGCGCCGTCTCAGCATCGCATGTGTGCATGGACCCGCACGCCGACCTCTACAGCGTGCTCGGCGTGGCTGAGGAGGCGTCCGAGGACGAGCTCAAGCGTGCCTTTCGGCGCCTGAGCCTCGCCTACCACCCAGACCGATGGCAGGCGCCGCAGGACAAGCGCGAGGCCGGCGAGCGCTTCCTGCACGTCGCTCGCGCGTACGGCGTGCTGAGCGACGAGCGCAAGCGCATGGCGTACGATGAGCTCGGGCCGCGCGACTTTGAGCAGGGCCAGCAGCTCCTCACTGCAGAGGTGGACTCAGCGGCGAAGCTCCGCGCGCGGTTCGAGCGCGAGAAGCGGCGCGTGGCGGAGCAGGCGTACCACGGCAAGCTGCGCATGTCGGGCTCGCTCGTCGTCGGCGCGTCCGCGTCGGACCTCCTCGCGCCTGCCGACCCGGACCTCCCACTGGGCGAGCGGCTGTGGCCCCACATCTCCTCTGTCTCGATGAGCGAGGACATGGCGCTCGCGCTGTCGCAGCGGACCGCGCTCACCTGCGGCTGCCAGCTGCTGACCAAGGGCGGGCTGGGCGGCTGCACGCTGCGGCTGGGCTTCAAGCGGCAGCTCGGCCACCACGCCTTCCTGCACGCGTCGGCGTCCGGCCTGAACGGCTCTCCCGCACCACCCACGGGACGGAACCCACACTGGATTCGACACCATGGAGGTGTGGTACACGCAGGCTCTCCGATCAGCGCCGGCTTGTCTGCGTCGCGCCGCCTCTCGCGCCACTCCAACGGCGCCGTCTCCGCCTCCCTCTCGTCGCGCGGGCTCGCCAACCTAGTCTTATTATTATTATTATTATTATTATTATTATTATTATTATTATTATTATTATTATTATTATTATTATTATTATTATTATTATGACCCAGACGGCCACCCCGCACCCTCCTCCGCCTCTGCCACCTCCTCTCTCCTCGCCACCCCCGCCCCACCTCTCACAGACCACCCCGCACCCTCCTCCGCCTCTGCCACCTCCTCTCTCCTCGCCACCCCCGCCCCACCTCTCACAGACCACCCCGCACCCTCCTCCGCCTCTGCCACCTCCTCTCTCCTCGCCACCCCCGCCCCACCTCTCACAGACCACCCCGCACCCTCCTCCGCCTCTGCCACCTCCTCTCTCCTCGCCACCCCCGCCCCACCTCTCAACAGACGGCGGCGACACACGCTACAACACACACACTCACAACCGGCACCTCGGCCAGCTGACACTGCCACGCACCCCCGAGTGAGCGTCCGGCACTCTGCGCCACTCGGGGCCGCGTCGCCCGCTGTCGCCCCCCTAGCACCCAAGGTGCCCGAGGGCACAGCCTACGCTCCCAACCGGCGCTAGGCTCGCCGACATACCATACCTCCAGAGTACCGAATCCGGCGTGGGTTCCCTCCCGTGGGTGGTGCGGGAGCAGAGCCAGCCCCCGAGGTAGGCTCACCGACGTCTGCCTGCGCGCCTCGCGCCAGCTGACCAAACACACGCTCGGGGAGGCGGTCTGGCTGGTCGGCAGCGGCGGGGACGACGGCCCGCTCTGCTACCGCACCGCCCTCGAGACTGAACCCACACTGGGTTCGGTACTCTGGAGGTGTGGTACGCGTAGGCTCGTTCTGCCTCCGACTCTCGCGCACGGGCAGCCGCCCGCCCTCCGCATCTCGGCGAGATCTCGGCGAGATCTCGGCGAGATCTCGGCTATCTCGGCGAGATCTCAGCGAGATCTCGGCGACTTCTGCCCGTCCCGCCGACGCTCGGCTCGACGGACGCTGATCTCGGCTTAGATCTCGGCTGGATCTCGCGGCTAGATCTCGCGGCTAGATCTCGCGGCTAGATCTCGCGGCTAGATCTCGGCTAGATCTCGGCTGTAGGCAGCCGCGCGCCCGCCGCTCGGCCCGAGGAGGAGGGGGTGGGGGGGGAGGGGCAGGGCGGCGGCGGCACGGGCGGCGGCAGAGGAGGCGGCGCGGGAGACGGCGCGGGAGGCGGCGCAGAGGCGGCGCGGCCCCGGGCGGGTGCTTCCACCGGCGGCGCAGCGGGGGAGGGGGCGCGGGGCTTCCCCGTGTGGGCAGCGATCCCCGGCTGGCACGGCCGGCTCCCCGGGCGGTTGCGGCGGCGCATGAGCCGGTCGGGTGCGGAGGTGACGCTGCAGCGCAGTGGGCCGCGGCTCGGGATGACACTGTTCTGGCGCCACTCGGACAAGTCTCGCTCCAAGCTCGTTTTGGGGCTGGGGATGGGCCGCTCCCTTTCCTTTTTGTTGGGGGGGGCATTTTGGTTCACCCTTTCCTGGGAGGGGGCCATTTGGACCGCCTCCTCCTCCTCCTGGGGCGTCGCGCTGCAGCTCTGGTCAGGAGGCGTGCAGCTCAAGCTGCGCGCGGCGCATTTTCTTTGGGGGGGGGGGGGGGGGGCGCACACTTCTTTTTTCTCCGCTAGGTTTGCAGCTCAAGCTGCTCGCGGCTCTCGACTTTCTTTGTTCGGCCGCACGGGTTTCTTTGTTTCGGTAGGCCTGCAGCTCAAGCTGCGCCTCGAGCGCTCGTCACAGCGGCTGCTGGTGCCAGTCTACCTCCTCCCCTCACCTACCCTCGCGACGGCCGCCGCCGCCGCCGCCGGGCCGGCGCTGCTCATCGCCGTGGCGCGGCGCGCACTCGTCGACCCCCGCAAGGAGCGGCGCCGCCAGGCGATCTCCCCATAGCTCCTCATATCTCCCCGTAGCTCCCCATATCTCCTCATAGCCCCCGCAAGGAGCGGCGCCGCCAGGCGATCTCCCCATAGCTCCTCATATCTCCCCGTAGCTCCCCATATCTCCGCATGGCCCCCGCAAGGAGCGGCGCCGCCAGGCGATCGCAGCGGCGGCCGGGGGGGAGAGCGGCGGCGCGGCGGGCGACGGCGCGGGCGACGGCGCGGGCGACGGCGCGGGCGGCGGCGCGGGCGACGACGGCGGCGTCGCGGCGGCGGCAGTTGAGGCGCGGCTGCTGATGCACGAAGCGGCGATGAGGGCTCGCGAGGAGAAGGCGTGCGCGGGTTTGCTCATCCTCGCCGCGTACTACGGCGACGTGCAGGCGGCGCTGGCCGAGGCGGGCGAGGCTGCGGACGAGGAGGAGGAGGTGGCGGTGGGGCCCGCGGCGGCAGGGCAGGCGATAGGGGGGGGGGGGGGGGGGCATGCCCTTGCCCTTGCCCTTGCCCCCCCAAACCACAATCACCCACCAATCCACACTGAGAGAATGAACATCTCTCCCCCCCGAGCCCAATTGCCACCTCGTTGCATATGCTACCAGGTCACAGTATGGGTTCGGGACGCATATGCTCTGAGGTCACAGTATGGGTTCGGCACCTGTTCACAGCAGTGTGCATATGCGGGACCCCGCCATACTGCTGTGAATACGTCCCGAGCCCATACTAGGGACCCAGAGCATATGCGTGTGGATGGCTCTGTCGCGACTGATCTCGATCCGTTAGGCGAGGGGGTGGCTGGATGTGCGCGTGGCGCTGCAGTTCGCCGTGTCGAGGTCGAGCTTGCGGCTGCCGGCGGGGAGCAAGGCGGGGCTGCGAGGCTTCGCATCCGTGCGGCCCGCGCCCCTCACCGCCGACGGCCACCGCGCGCCTTGCGAGCTGTGGCTGAGGTATGAGATTGCCGGCGAGGTTCGCACCCTCTGCGTCGAGGACGCCGCGCCCGTGCTGCTGGGCCGAGCCTCGGCGGCGCGAGGCGCGCGGTGAGGGAGGGCGGCACCCCGGCACGCAGTGTGACACACTCGACGGCTGTACGTCTGCGCAGTGTCTTCCCCATCGATACCACGTGCAGCACCCGCGTTCATGCTCTTTCCTCGATGCAGGGGTAAGCCATTAAGGTGTGGCCCAGGCCGTTGAACGGACATAAATTTTCTTGTTCGAGATGTACGATGACGAAAACGGCCCACTTGTCGCTTGTGCCCGTTGATTCATGATTGAGAGGGGCCGGCCGGCCGCGGCCGGTCCGCGGTCGCCTGAGTTTACTTGGACGAGCACTTGGAGTGCGGTTGGCAACCTCAGATCCAGGGCCGGCGGGGACGGGCCGGGGCGGGAGCTAAGAAGCGCGCACCCAGCGGGCCGGAGAGGTGTGCCGCCGGCAGCGCGAGCTGCCGGCTATATTGAGCGGTTCAACCGCGTCGCGCACTCGTCCCAACCGGGAGCCGCAGACTTGTTCTGCGCGCCAACGGCTGGTGACGCTGTGTTGCCCTTGAGCTAGTCCTTCCCCGGTCGCCTACCCTCTGCGCTGTCTGGCGAACGCCTGTATGCCATGCGCGCGGACCACGCTTGCGTGGATACGTAGCTGGCAGGCTGACCCGTGTGCGGGGTAACCCGCGCACGGGGAAGCTTCACGGGTTCGAGTCGTCAAACATTGAGCAGCGGAGGTGTGCCGAGGGGGACCGGGAGGCGGTAAGCCGTCGTTGCCCGGCGCTGCTTGCAGCACCATGGCGATGACGCTAAGAGGTTCCTCTTTTCCGCGCCGCCCCCCCCCCAAGGCGCGCGAGATACACATGTGCTCCGCATCGGGCTACGAGCTGGAGTAGACTGGGCGCTAGGGGGGTGCGCGGTCGCAGGGCCACGATAACACGGGTCTCCGAGGGTTAGTCCGCCGCGCTTTGCCTTTGGGTTTCCCCTAGCGGCGGAGCGCCACCCTCTACTCGGGGCTCTAGTAGAAGAGAATACGTACCGTTTGAGTTCATATTTACGCGGGAGTCGGAAAAAGTATTTTGCGCGATGTTCCGCTAGAAAGAGGGGAAATGAAAAAAAGTGCCATTGGCTTTCAGAAAAAAACTTATTATTAACAACGAAGGCGCTCTCAAAAAAAACGCCTCTCAGCTCACCACCTCGCCTTCTCTGTCGGTCTGTCGCTCTCCTGGCCCAGTCCCATCAGTATCAGGCCTAAGGTGTCCTAAACCGCACTTGTCTCGGGTCTTCAAGCTCACGCCGGCTCGTAACACCCTACACACGGCCCTCGCACGCACATTACGAGCTCACAGACACCGCCGGCACGCACTCCCACTTCACACACGCTCAAGCACAACCCCACCAAAGCACAGTCCTGCTCAGGGTGGGCAAGGACCGCCACTTGGTGACCCAGGCCGCCCCTGGCTCGCCACTGCACTCGGCTCCTCTGCAGCTGTCTCGGGCTCTCCCACGACAGCACGCCGACGGCAAGCTTTGACGCCCGTCGGATGGACCTGCTGCGGCCACGGCCGATGCACTCATGCAGCTTGGTGCAGGCCTCAACTCGGATGCCGACCAGCCTGGTCTGTGACCTTTGGGGTCTATGGCATGCTTCTCGGGCGCACCCTAAGGTTTTTGTATATAAACGCTGAGAGGGGAGCTGCGGGGCACAAGGTTCAAAACCTACCGTAGCGCAGTATAGAGTATTGAGTATACTAGTTAGTAGCAGTAGGCGACTCCTCGAAAGAAGCAACACCCACCACTGTCCACGCTTAGAATTCGTTTTGCTCGTGTTAGTGCCACCTAGTAAAGAAACAAATAAAGAAAGAAAGCCCTGAACGGAGGGATGCGAGGACGGAGAAGTGACGTCACGCCGAATTCTTCTGTCTTTTGTTGTTCTTTTAGAAAGAATTCTTTTTGCTCCTCAACTTTCCTTCGCTCTATCTGCGAGGGCTCTCTGGTGTTCTACTAAGCGGGAGAGCGGAACGACGTCGTCGCTTACGTCTAGAGTACGCTAACTTGCGGCCGTCCTCCCCGCCCCCGCCCCATGCCCCAGGTCGCCGAGCGCAACTCAGCGGTCGGAGGTTCTGTCTCTAGTCTCGCAGGGGGGGGGGGGGGGGGGGGCTTGAAGCTAAGAAACAGACTCAGTCGCGGTCGGCGCGCGCCATGGCCTGCAGGATGGTGAGGAAGAGGTTGATCACGTCGTTGAACACCATCAGCGCGCCCAGGACGTGCTGGGTCGGCCGCAGCTGGAACCTCTTGCCGCCTCCCGCGATCAGCTGCGTGTCGTAGACGAGGTAGCCTACGAGGAAGTGTCTAGGAAGTGTCTAGGAAGTGTCTCGGCGCCTTCAACGTGCACAGCCTCGAGGTAGCCGCTGAACACGAGAGCACCAAGGTAGGCTCGCGCGGTGGCGACGATCGGGCCGCCGAACAGGGCCTGGACGAGGCCGAGGGCGAGCAGCGAGAGGAGGCCTGGCAGAGGGAGACGGGTCGAGGAAGGGTCGAGGAAGGGTCGAGGAAGGGTGCGGCCATGAGGGACGGGGAGGCGGGGCGGGGAGGCGGGGCGGGGAGGCGGGGCGGGGAGGCGGGGGAGGAGCGGGCAGAGGCCTGCAAAGAGCATCCCTCTCCGCGCGGTGAAGTCTCGCTTCGTGGTGACGGCATATGTCGCGAGGCCGCCGACGGCGGCGGCGGTGGCGGCGGCGGCGCGCACGAGGAGGTCGGCGGGGAGGGGCATCGTGGCGGCGCCGATGCCGACGCCGGTAAGGGCGGTGAAGGCGGCGAGGAGGAGGTGGCCATACGGCGGTGTCTCGGCAAGGCGGGGGGCGAACTGAATGGCGAGAGCGGGGGCGGTCGCGAGGAGCAGGAAGGCCGGCGCCGACGGCATCAGCCGGTACGCGACCGCCGGTGCGCCCCGCAGCGCCGCCATGATCGCCGCGAGCAGCAGCACCTGGACCAGCACGGTCGAGTAGACGCGAGCGAGGAACTGGCGGCGGACGGCGGGCCTCGCGAACTGCTGGGCGACGTAGACGCGCTCCGCGTCGCTCATCGTGCCCGCCGGCTGCTGCTGCTGCGGCTGCTGCTGCACCGGCACGTAGCCGCCGCCGGGGTAGGACCGCTGAGGCGGGACGTAGCCGGCGCCTGGGTAGGAGGAGGAGGCGCCGCCGCGAACGAGCAGCAGCGGCCTCGAGGAGGAGCGGTCTGCGGCGGCGGCCGCGACGGATAGCAGGAGGGCGAGAGGCCGCGAGTTCATCGCCGCACAAACGTCGCTCAGGCGGGCGGCCACCTTCTGGTTCACAGCCTACAACTGTAGCCCCGGGGCCGTCTGTCGGACGCCTGCGTGTCACGAGTGCGAGCCGCTCGCGGTTCGTACGCCCGCTTGCGGGTTCGAGTGGCGGGCCATCCCGCTTGCGGGATGGCTTAGCGGGTTCGAGCCGTCACACATTGGCTGCCGGGGTGTGCCGAGGGGGGGCTGGGTGGGCTGGGTGGGCGGTAAGCCGTCATTGCCCGGCGCTGCTTGCAGCGCTCTGGGTGGTAGTGGCGGCGCTCCAAGAGTGATGCTCTTGGGAAGAGGTTCCTCCTTTCCGCTCCCCCCCCGCAAGGCGCGAGACACAAATTGTTACCGGTCATGAATGAGTGCGCGACATTTGTTTGTTGTCGCATGTTGCGAGCAGCGTTGTTGATGTTTTGCGCGTCGCCACAGACGGCGGCGCGCGAGAGCTGTTGCGAGTGGTGCTGGACAAAGCCCCGGGCGCTGCCGGAGGCTGTGCCGTAGTCGGTGCGGTCGACGGCGCTCGGGCTGCCGACCTCTTTGGCG